TGCGCCGCCGCACACCACCCGCGTGCGGAACGGCGCCCGCTGTGCGCACGCGTGGGGCAGGGCGCGGCCGGCGCGGGCCGCGGAGAGTGACGGCCCGAGCCGAACGCGAGCCTGAGGCGAGCGGATCCGAGCCGAGCCGTTGAACGAGTGGAGCCGAGGGAAGCCGAGCAGAAACGAGGCGAGCCGGAGACCGAGTGGAAATGAGCCCGAGCCGAGCCCAGCCCGAGCAGATCCGAACTTGAGCCGAGCACGAGCCCAAGCGCAGCCGAGCACGAGCTAGAGCCTGCCGAGCCTTTGTCCAAGCCCGAACCGAAACGAACCCGAACCGAAACGAGCCCGAGCCCGCCTTCCCCTCAGCCTCGCTGAGCAGAAATGGCTTGGGTTCCATTAGTTTGTCAATGCTGGCTTTTGTTGCCAGCATTGATTTCTTTGGTTTTGAATTTGTTTTTCACAGAAAACAATCCAGGACTTCACTAAGATGTGCTACAGGTTCCGTAAGATCTGCTATTTTTTTTTATTAGCCCCAATGTATTATACAGCCTGAGGCATGGGGACACTGTCTGTACCCACGCTGAAGTCAGAACTAAATGGGAGGAGGATGGTAAAACCACAAAAAAATAGCAGAAACATCACAGCTCAGGTTCACAGCTCTCAACCAATGCCCTTCCTAAGAAAACGGAGTTTTGGCAGCTGCTAGAGATTGCACAGGATAACATGAGTACAATAAACATATCTTAGGAAGCAGTCACAAGATGACTTTAATAGCTTTAATTTAAAATCACTCCATTATGAAACAAGGCCCTCTTCACTGTTTTTCTCTGAGCAGACTGATGACATTCTGTGAAAATACCTCTGTGCTGGCCTGGGATGGAACAGGTGAATACTTTTCCCAAGTGCTAGTAACAGCAAAAACCGTTTTAGACTCAGTACAGACACTGAAAAAAAAATGCAATACAAGAGCTGTACAGAGAAATGTTTTCCATAGGCTTCTCATAAAAATTTCAAAAGTTCTCAAAGAGTCTCTAAATCTTCTTTTTAAAAAGGATTGGAGACTCTAGGTCTTAAAAGCAAGTAGAAATGTGTCAGCATTCCCTAGAGTTTTCGATGCTATTTGAAATATCTGGCCTTTACTGAAGAAGCTCAGCTTCTACTGAATCCTCCTTGCAGCAGAGAATCTTGCCGACAGGGAAAATCCATAATGGATGAAAGCAAGACAGGGGAGGACACTGCAAACTGCAAAGAGGGTGCAAACGACTGCAAGAAAGGTCACCTCTGGAGGTCAGATATGATTCACACTCAAAAACATTTATGTTCACTGTATTTACCAGCTGCACTCTGATCAATGGACACTGAAATACTTCATTAAAAAGTATTTAAAGGTTCAAAAGTCAATATTGTATCTTGTTCAAGTCTCGTGCCTTTTAGAAACACATTTATCTGAAGGGGGGGAGGCACAGGACAACACAGGACAGAACAATTTGTTTTAAAAACATAAGGAATCAGACTGAAAAGTCATGCAAGATACATCTTCTATTCCAGTGCAGAAACCTTGAGAGCACAATACCATGCTCAGGTTCCTTGGGAGGCTTTTCAAGTCCATAACAGAATTTGTATTTAAAATACTTTATTTTCATTATAGTGTTCAGATCATGAGGCATGATTAAGATTTTACCACTGCAGACCCAGGACCCTTAAAAAGACTCATCTGCGTCAATAAATTATCTGACAGTTCAAACCCAGTGTCACACCCGGGTTACTCCCAGTTTCTCCTCATACCTAAGCACAGCTCTTTTGGCAGCTGTTCTGACAGATGAGCTGATAATTGAACCGTTGAGAGCATTAATTATGCCCTTTTCTAGCCCTTGAATATTTAAGGTGTTTAGTTTTTGTAGTGAACTGCTTGACAGGAGAGGAAGCAAGATGAACCCCAGACCATGGAAGTGATTTAAAGACAGAATTCCCGAGTCTGATACACAACTCACAGATGCATTTCACTCACTGCTCCCTATCCAGCTCCCTGTTCCTGTCAGGATGCTTTCTCCTTCACACTGCCTATGCCTTTGGGGAGGATAAACACGGGAGCTTTTCCTCCTTCTCTCAGGGAAGAAGGCTTTTCCTTCTGCTCTTGGGGCAGTATGGCCATGAGGAGTTCCATCTAAGAATTCCATCTGTCAGGAAGGCTAATGAATCTAATGACATATGCTTGAAAACATTGTCATTTTCATGAATTCACTTAGTTTTGTCCCCATGGCCTCTTAGGCCAAAGGAGTGCCATTTAATAATTCAGGGAAAAAAAAAAATAAACAGAAAACTTCAAAGAGGGTCTCTATTCTGTCAGCTCCTGTTCTCCCTCAGCTGAAGATTACAAAGGTGCTTTGGAAGATTCCAAATCCAGTTTTAAGAGTTCAGCAAAGTTACAGCTACAGAAATGACAAGTGAAAAGTGATGCTAATGAAAATGGGAGGTGTTATTGTCTCAGGCAACTTACACACCCATCACCTTGTATGAACGCAAAACACAGCCCTGATTAATCAGAGTTGAGACAGTGGTGGTATGCATATTTAGAAAGTTGTCCTTCCTAACTACTTCCATTTTAAGACATTGTTCTCAAGATTTAAGAAACAGCACAAAAGTGAATTTCTAAGAATAGAGAGGCAGTCTTCCATGGTCCCTATAAAACCGTCATACTCCAAATCAAGAAACTTGGTTTACTATCAGAACTGTAATTAAAAGCTAATCCTGGACAATACATATTGTTTTGCTTATGACCACAAAGTTTTACTGTGGCATGACTATCACCAGAAACAAAAATCTTCATTCTTCTATTGCTGTTTTGTTATAATGGGAATTCTATTTTCAAATATTATTCATAGGGTTATTACGTATGCTATACTGTATTAATAGTTCAATATAAAACAGGACAAAAGCAATAAAATAAAATCATTTAGTCTAGAAGTCAGACATCCTCTCACTTGGACTCAGGCTACAGTTTAAGAGTTCTTGTTAAACAAGCATGGTGAATCTTGTTCAGCTGAAGATATGGAGTATACACCATACACCAAGAACTGAAACAAAATCAAGGATATATGAGCTTTACATCCTTTGACAAAGTTCTTTGTTGAAAAAGTCTCAGCTTCTTCCTTTGATGTCTATTCTAAATCATCTTCCCTGTGAGAAGTACATCCAGTCTCTGAGCTTGAGAAAGTAACATGACTAAGATCATGTGACAATTAAAACCACGCACAGTCCACTAAAATTCTCACCACCTTCCCACAGAAAGGCTGGAAGAGAAGTTATTTACACACCCTGTGAAGTATTAATCTGTTTTATCTTCGTCCTCTGCAGCATAGATAGCTTGGTTCCTTCTCCTGATTTTTTTAACACCACTGTTGCCGTTTTCATCACCACCGATGCGTTTTAATGACCTCTCAGTGGAGCTCTTTTCCTCCACCTGCTTGCTCCCACCAGACTTCTCCAGCTCCTCGTTGTTGGAGTCCATGGCATCATCAGAGGACACCGCCATGGAGTCTGGCATGATCCGGATGTCAGAGAAGCTCGTAGAGAACTCAGGAGGGTGATCAGGGGAGGGATCTACAGAGCATGTACTCAAGTCTTCATCACCACCTTCTTCATCCAGCATTATTTCATCTGGATTAAAGCATGACAGGCCAGAATTATCTGTATTGTATTCACTGGGTTCCTCTGCTGACCCAGTACTGTCCATCTCCTCTTCGTCCTCCTCTTCACATTCACCTCGTCCTGAGCTCTCTTCTTTAGCCTGCTGGATCCTGTCATTGATGTCAGTGAGGCCAAACTGGGCACAGAACTCAGTGGTCTGTGGATTGATGGTATGAACTGGCTCCATGTTTTTTTGGGGTTTGCTGGGATCGTAACAAGCAGCTGTCAGTGTGAAGTTGCAAGGAATTTTGAGGTCATGGTTCAGCTCTTCTAACACCTCTTTAATGGCTTCTTCTGTCACACTGTAATCCCACCTAAAAAAGTGCATAAAGTTTAAACAAGCACAGCAAGTCAAAAGGCTCCCACTACAGAGTGTAACCTTCAAAGATGGATTATAAATTCATTTTACAACAGACACTTTATTCCTCAAATGCTTTTTCAGGAAGGTTTTAATTTTCTTTTGGACAGTACTGAGACACCCTTCTCCCCACTAAGGATTAGCGTATTATGTCAACCCACACCCATAACCCAGCCTGTTTTTCAGCCTCATGGTGTAGTTTCTGTCCCTCAAATGCTGGTATCTAAGTTTGCAAAATAAAATTAACTACCCAGGTAGAGCAGTAAAGAAGTTGTATGCTTTAGACTACATCTTTTGTGAACATCCTCTTTTCTTTCCAAAGCATTTAGCAAGCCCTACAGGCATTACAGGCTGCATAACAGAAGCACATCTCCAGTATAACTTTACTTCCAGTCCAGAAAAAAAAAACAAAAACCCCTCATTTTCATCTCTATTTTGCAGAGAACTTACTTGGCATAGAGGCCATTCTTTTCAGGCATATTCCAGGAGCTCTGGGTCACATTAACAAGACTGTTGGTAGCCTTGAGGACTGCAATCCACTCAGCATCATACTCCAGTGAGTCACCTGCATTGGGATCATGGTCCACGTCTATTATCTACTTAAAAACACACAGCAAACAGATGTAGTGAGTTATTTCTATTGACACGAGAACCTGATTAAAGTTTCAAATGTTACTTTCACTGTGCAAGGTTTTAATGAAGTTTAAAGTACACTGAGCTAGTGGTCTCTAAACAAGTCCTCTCAAGCCAGCTTCCTATAAGGGGCTAACAAAGGACAATCAGTAACAGTAAAAAAGACATTTCTGAATTTCAGCTTACAGCAATTAATAAGCAGAACATACTCCCTCCCTTACTGCCAGCAGCTGGGATAGTGATGCAACTTAGAAACAGAATGCGCCTGATCCTAAATTCATTCTGCCTTCTGTTGGAGGTTAGGATTTTTTCCTTTTTTATTTGAATTTTTCTCCCATTTGTTGCCTAAGAGACCGGAACAATAGACACTTAAGAGAGACAAAAGATGTGGCCAGGACAAGGGAGGGGGTGCAGTTTGCTATATCTCTTAGAGAGATGGGGAGGCACATGTGTTTCTCTTGGGAAAGGCAGAAGTACTGCCAGATTTAAACATATATATTCCAGTAAAGAACTGTTATTAGTTTTTTCTTATCTTCTCCTGAAAGTCTCATAATCTAAAAGTTATAATAATTTGGAGGGTAGGGGGTCATATTTTCTATTCCAAGGAAGGTTCCCACCTTCCTTGAAAGACATGTCTCTTTCAAACTAAGACACTTCTATATGGATACAAACCAAGAATTGACAGGAATTGTCAATTTCAAATTCTGCTGTAGGAACACCCACTCTTAGCACAGCTATGATTTAACAGGAAATGTTTTTAAACTCGTTCATGATGAATTGAAATTAAGATCTTCTGGAGGAAGTACCAATCCAGATCAGTTTTGTTATAGGATTTTAGTGTGGACTAGGACTCATGTCCCTTTGCACAGATAGAGCCTATCCTCATACTCTCTTCCACCTTCAAAGGTAGTTACTAGGGGAAATGCATCCCACCACACATCTAAAGGACAGACAATGAACCACCTTCCCCTTGGGATGATAAATAAAAGCCACTCTAAGACTAGTAAAAACACTTGAGTGCATTTCAAAACACACTATCAGAACTCACTCTCACAGCAAACTATTTTAGACTCATCCATGAAGTCAGGTACTTGCTCTCAGCTGGATGGTAGCGGTAAAATTAAGTAAACATTGTGCCTACACAACAGTTTGCTTAGTTCAGGAAAAATCCCACAAAGACCATTCCACACATGCATTCCTAGTTTCTTTAAAATCCCTCCACTTATCAGCACTATTCTTCATCTTATATCTAAAAACAGCACTGGCAGTTCAAACAAAATACTTAAAGTGTAAACCTTCTACACATGTTCATCACCTGCAGGAAGTCTCTGTGGGGCAAGCATTTATCCAGAGCCAGGAACTTGGTTGCTTTTGGTAACTCTTCTTTGGAGTTTGTCTAGGAAGCAAATGGTGTTAACACAATGATTAGAGGTTATGTGAAATTTGACCACTCTAAACAAGCTGTATAGACAGGTTTAAAGGTATAATTTCTACAGAAAAATACTTTCTGAAATAAAAAATTAGCAGGAACAAAGAGAAGTACAGACTTCACTGGGAGTATAAGGGGAAGCAGGATGTAGATTGATAGCAAGATAAAGCAAGAGCTACATTTCAGCATTAACTAAGGCAGCTGAGCAAATCCAGCCTTGGAGCAAAAAGAAAAATTGTAACTTAATTGAAAACCGATTTGTTGACCCTACAAGGTCTGGAGTTACATTTTTACAGATAAATAACTTGCAAATAGGAACAGCACTGGCACCACTTCAGGAATAACTGTTTCAACTACAGGCTGGCTTTTGGCTTTGACTCAAGCTACCAGACCTGCAAAACTGTGCTACAGGGATCCTCCCACCCTCAGATAACCACCCTCTTCAATCACTCCCTTAGCATCTTCTTTGAAGTTATCTCCTTTTTCTCACCTATTTTGAAGTTGTCTGCCTCCCCAACAGAGCAGGAGTGTTTTTCTATACAGTTAAATTAACAACTTTCAAGAACAATAACTTCAGCTATTTCATGCTGTTCCTGAAGATTAGGGAATTACACCCCTCATTCATAACATCTTTTTCATTTACATAAAACAATAGTCCTAACACCACTTAATTTCTCATTGTTTTAACTGAGTTTTAAGATCAAAAAACACTAAATTGCTTTTCTGGACATGATTATCTGCACCAGAATAATTCTATAGTGTGTCTGGGACCAATTCATTTTCTGTCCCCCTTTACCTCGTGTTGCATGAAAGCTGCAAATTTAACGTGAAGATGTGCTGAGAACCAGTAGGTGGGTTTCAGGTGCTGCAGAAGCTCTGAAGCAGCAGGGCTTCCCAATGTGTTGCTCTCCACTTCTTGACGGAAGAAGGATTTCATTTTGAGGAGCTGTTTCTTGTTTCCATAGTGATAGATGCTCCTTGGCCAGTCATGTGACATAAATATATCGATGGGACGCTTTAGCTGTCAGGTCAAAAAGCACATGGCATAAATACAACATATTGACAAAGAAGTTTAGAAATTACTTGAGGCAGCCACCTGTGCTTTATACTGCCTTATCAAAGAGTTCATATCATCACTATAAGTCAGGCAGTCAGAGGAAATCATAGCTAGAGAGCAAGTCCTCTGCCCACAGCCAAAGGCATCTTCTTCCTCATGAAAATTTTAAAAGCTTTATTTAAAAGGGATAATGGCTAAGCACAATATTCCTCCTCAAAAGACACACTCCTCAGATGTCTGATCAACGTGTTAAAGTATATTTAGGTTCAATATCCAGCTTTAACTTCCTACTTCTAAATTAATGACAAATTAATTACCCTTGTTTAAAAAAAATAGGCTTTTCACTAACCTGTTTGAGTTTGAAGACTTCAATATTCCTCACATGGTAAGCACTTCTAATGGTCTGCTGGTTGTATGGTGGGCACTCAAAGTGGCCTAAAATGTTGAAAACAAAAATAGTTGCCTGAATCACAAGTTCCCTCCTACACAGCAGCTTTTTAGGGTCACAGAGGCACCTAGAGTAACGCCAAATACAAGGCTGTGATTTTTCATGATTGTGCAGAGTGCTGCCACCCACCATGAAATTACAGCTTAACAGGTTCAGCAGCAGCCTAAACATCCCTGTCACTGCCCACAGGCACCACAGGCTGCGGAAGCACCAACATGTACCCTGACAAAAGGGATGAGTTTCCAACTTTGCCTTGGGACAAAAAACATGAATGCCTAGCATAGCTCCTACATACTCTACAGAATTAACAGAAAAATTGCTTTTTTAGTTATTGCCAAAATCTCCCTCGTGCAATATTCAGGCATATAAAGTGCTCCCTTAATGACAGCAAATTTAATTAGCGCTGACAGGTATTAGACAGAAAAAAATGTTCGAGAAAACTGGTTACTTTGCAGCTTGAAAGCTACCTGCAAAGCTTCTCTGAAGCCATTTGTTAGTAAAGATAGCACAGTACAGTAGCCACAAGGACCACTCTTTCAAGTCCTGAGATCAGAAAAAATAAACTATCTTCTACTCACTAACACGGGTTATCGTCTGTGACATGATTTTTGCCACCCTTCCCAGGAAGAACTCTTGAATACATACCCACATAAACAGGAGGAACCAGATGTACTGACCCTAAAACTCAGGGCAGGACAATACACATAGAGCGTCACTGTTATAAACTGACCATCTCACTCAAGGAAAATCAGTGTTGCACTGCATGATGAAAGGACACTGCCATGGAAAAATCAACACTGTTCCCACAACGCTCCAAAGGCGCCTTGCTTCCTGCTGTGGTCACCGGGCAGCTACAGACTCATCTACCAACTCCAGTAAAATCCGTGTATTGAACCAAGGGTGGTTTTCAGGCTAAGAGACGGTTCGGGGCTGAGCACAGCCAGACCCTCCCACCACGCCGCGGCCCCGGCTCTCCCCTCCGCGCTGCCCGCCCCGCCGGCCCCGCTGCCCCGGTACCTTTCCGGTAGTCGTGAGACTTGAAGATGCCCGAGATGCCGCCGATCCTCACGCCGCGGAACCGCACCACGCCCGCGTAACCTGCGGGACAGGGGAGGGGGTCACGGAGGGTCCGGGCAGGGCAGGGGCTATGGGGAAAATCTCCGGGAGACCGGGGCTGGAGCGAAGGGACCTTACCCAAGTAGTAGATATT